GTGGAACTAGAATAACTTACCCTGGTGGACGAAATAAATGGTTCAGTTCGAAAATTCTAATCGGCTGAAGAAGGCCCGAGCGTACAACGGCCGAAATGTCGTGAATATGGCAATGATATTGAGGACAGCAGTTCGAACAATATAAGTAATGTGTGCGCATGTATCCACTAAATACAAAGTCTGTAGTAATAAAATATATATATATATATATATATATATATATATATATATATATATATATATATATATATATATATATATATATTGTTCGGTAAAAGTCGTAGCATATTTTAAAATATTTTCTGGTAACGGTCTTGACGACGAAGCTGGGATAGTGAAATGGAATTAAAGAAACATGAATGGAGAACAGGCCAAAATAATATGAGACAAGACAATGGCAAAGCAAAGCGACAGTAACAAAGAAAAATATTTCCAAAATAGAAATAGCGTTCATAAGCATAAAGAAAAACAAACAAACGGTTATCGCCTTCTGACCTTCCGACAAGAAAGAAAAAAGTGTGCGTAAGATCGAAAATTGTCCATTTTATTGACTAGTAAAAAAATTCCAGGATGCATCTGCAGAATTTGCCAAATAACAGCCAAAATAGACTATCCACAATGCACCACTGACCCATATATATAAATAGCCGAGAAAAATAATAGCACTCGTGGCTTGACGATTGCGTCTAGCCGATTGCGTCTAGCTTTAAACAGACTGTCGCCTGTGTTGACTTCAATGTTCACTTTTATATTTACACACGCTCTATCTCCGATATTGAGCACTTTATACTATAAATATAGCACACTTTAAGACTTTATTTCTTCATATATATGTATCAAACATTTAAAGTACCATAGGTAATTATACTTTTTTCATGAAAGCTATAAAAAATAACGTTCAGTCGGTTTTCAGGTTTGAAATACTGAAGGCCATTTTATAACTTTCATGAAATAAAATTATTACCTATGGTACTGTTTGATATTCATTAATTAATACATACACAGATATATATATATATATATATATATATATATATATATATATATATATATATATATATATACAAGTCTTTTTTCAGCTGGTTTGGTATGATTTATTTTGTTTTATGGCATATCAACTTCAGTGGGTTATTTAATGACAAGATATATAGGATAGGTTGGTATGAATAGAATGTTTTTGTTTTGTTTTTTTCTAAAATGTATTACTGGTATTTTTACTATAGAAATTTTTATACTTTCATAGTGTTTTGACCCCAGTTTAGGGGTTAACTATTTGCCAAAAGCTGGGACCCTAACAGGTGCTACCACCCCGGGTCAATGCGGACATAGAAACAACAGCAATTAAAAGTTGGTTCGACGCTCCTCAAAACCTCCAGGTCAGAGGCCATACTGCCGGATGAAGTGTATACGCAGGACGTTGTTTCATCTGGAAAAAAGGATACAATTTTCTTCCGGTACACACTTATTCTTCTTCATGTCGTGTCCCTTCAGGACGTTGCCAATTTCCTATCTTTTGTAAGTCTTGGTAAATTTTGTCTTTTTGCTATCTTTCTTAAACCCTGTTCTGTCATCCATTAACACAAGCTCGTTAATGTAGGGTATGCGCTGTTTTCCGCTGTCCCTTTTGACTTCAATATGGCCTGTGAGTGTCAAATTCTCCAAACACCCTTTTCTCACTATGTGCCCTAGAAATGTCAACTGTCTATTTCTGATGATAAGTATAAGTTTCCTTTTTGTTTCCATTTTCTCTGAAACTTCGACGTTGCTCATGTAGTTTTCTACCCATAGTTTTCTCAGCATCCTTCGATAGAACCACTTTTTTGTTGATTGAAGTCTCTTCTTCATCTTTGATGAGATTTTCCAGTAATCACTGTCATATAGAAGGTCGTTCATGCAGAATCTTTTATTTTTCGTCTCCTTTTAGAATGTTGGCGATCATGGTTCTCCACAACTTCCTGTCCTTTGCAGCTCTTAGCTGTGTTTGTACGTTTGCTATCTCTCCTAATGCCTGTTCTGCCAACCATTTGAACAAGCTCGTTCTGTAGAACATGCGCTGTTTTCCTTTGTCTCTCTTGGATTCAATATGTCCAGTAAGTGTCAAATTTTCCAAGCCCTTTCATTATTTGTGCATTAAGAATGTCAATTGTCTTTTTTCTGATTGTAAGTGTGCTTTTTGTTTCCATTTTCTCTAAAACTCGACGTTGCTCATATGTTCACTCAGTATCCTTCTGTAGAAGCAGATTTACTCATCTTAATATAAATTTTATTCATCACTGCTTAACTTTTTGAACCAACGCTTTCAGAGTGTTTTAACTTTGAGCCTTGTATCTCAGTTTTTACATAAGACACTGAAAGATAGAAATCCTACCATCAGTCCAAAACAGCAGGAAGCGTGAACCAGGGCCACGTTGCTCGTCACCCGGGGTCTAATTAGCGGCGACACGAACTACGGTGAGCTGTTGTGTCCTTTGTTAAGTTAAGAGTGATACCCTTGTAGGTCTCCTCAAACTATACCCCATGGAAGATAAAAAAAAGTCATTCAAGTAATCGGTTGGATATACGTTTGGTATCCTCTGTATATAATTCGAGCCAGTGTCGCTTGTCTGTTACCAGTCGCCTCTGGTCACGATCTTTAATGACTCATATTCGGCCACTGCTCTGTCCACGTTGGCCACTAATATCATGCCTCACGTCTTCCAGATAGACACGTTACACAGTAAATCAAAGAATGTCAAATGTATCTAAAATTTCAGAAATTGATTTCCCCATCCTCCTGGCATCCACTATCATTCCGCTTTTGAATTTTAATAATTCGCATCGACTTACCATGAGCAGTGGAGCCGGTTTTCACATTGACTATGTCGATGTCAGCACAGCTGATAGATCTGGGCATGTCGTCAAGTATGTTCTACCTAACATTCAGCCAGTTATGTGCCACGCGTTATACACATTCAGCCAGTTATGTACCATGCGTTATACACATTCAGCCAGTTATGTGCTATGGGTTATACACATTCAGCCAGTTATGCGCCATGGGTTATACACATTCAGCCAGTTATGTGCCATGGGTTAAACACATCCAGCCAGTTATGTGCCATGCGTTATACACATCCAGCCAGTTATGTGCCATGTGTTATACACATTCATCCAGTTATGTGCTATGTGTTATACACATCCAGCCAGTTATGTGCCATTGGTTATACACATTCAGCCAGTTATATACCATGCGTTATACACATTCAGCCAATTATGTGCCATGCGTTATAGACGACCATGTATCTTTCGATACATGACTGCCTCGTCAGTCATGTATCGAAAGATACAGGTTGGCATTTTCATCTTTCTTTCTGCGGTAGACCAGTTGCCATCCTTCCCCCTCTCTTTGAGAGAGAGCCTCTTGATTTTGTCGGCAACTCTTATTTTGAGTGCTGGATAGGTCTTACTAACATCTTCCTTTTTTTTTTTTTCAATGTGTTTTCGGTGTAATCACCCCCACCCCGCCATCATTTCATAATATTGATAGACATTTTTATACAATTGTAAATATTGAAATTTTAAGTCATGGAGTGTTTTTCAGTAATGGCTCTATGTCTGTGAGTTATTTTGGTGTATGTAAGAGCGAATGGTGACGGATAGATACTTACGGTGAATCAGTAAATTGCAATGAATGAATGGGTCATGAATCTGATTAACTACGTATAGTTAGTGTCTACCAGCCTTCACCCATCTCGCCATTTTTCGGCCTTGTGCCAGATTTACTGTATTTAATCAGTATTAAATCGTACACAAATAGTCGAAAATAATACAAGCATAACCTATGACATTGGCTTTAAGACAATATTCCAAATATAAAAACACCTAACCGAAAAATCAGAAAAAGTGAAATGATTTATTGTTCTCTTTTAAGAGCAATTCAAAACTGTCGGTTGTTTGAGTCCGAAAAGCTATAGAACCCGGTCTGTCCTGCTATTTACCCATAGCTATTTTCCCAAATAAATACCTTTCACGTAAGAATTCGAACTGGAATTTCCCTGGAATTCGAACTCGGCTCTCCTATTCCTCATTCTGAGCCGCTACCCACCGTACCTCCCTTATGAACATTACTTTTACACACATAATACTATGGTGACAGTCCGGGTCATGACTAAATTGAGCTAAGTTAATATTTTTTCTTCCACAATATATTTGTATTTCCTCACTTTCACTTTTTGCAATTTCTTCCATTCTTTATCTTCCATTTTTTCATTGCTACATTGCTTTCATTAACTCGGCCTATAAATAAGCGATGGTTTTTCAAATAATGTTTTTTCTATCTTGAATGTAGTTACGACCTTAGAATTCAGATCACAGTTTGGGATTAGATACAAGAAAGTTTTTTTAACGCTAAGTCAGGAAGATGTTTTTAATGCTATATTTTTAAAATTTAAATTTTGAAAAACGAATAAATGCAAAATTTCAGGTTTTTTTTTAATATTTTAAAGCATTTTTCGCAAAAATAATGTTTCTCGATTTGTTTTGTTTAATAATTAATTTATTTATGTTTATTGGGTTTGATTAAAGAAAACAAGAAACATTTTATCGTTACAAAAAAAGACTATTTTTGTGTATAGCAAAAAAACTTGAATGAAAAATTTGAATGTTTTACGTTTTATATCATCCTAGTAAAACTGCCTTACAATGCGAGTATCAAATCCTTTTTCGTTTACCCGGCTGTACTACGCAGTTGTTTTTTGTTCTAGTGATTTGAGTTTTGCTGCTAATGGTATGAGTGAAATTGTTGCAGTTAAAGTACTTCAATTGGTTTACGAGTATTGTTAGGTGTTTATTTTTATATACGGCATGTACACGGTGTGGTGCGGGTTCGAGTAGCTGTAAAAAGTTAAGTGACCAGGACAAGTCGTCAGCAGGGGAGCAATGGAAAGGGACTCTATTCAACTTCATTTCCTCTCGCTCATTCTCCCCACTTAGGTTTTCTTTATATCTTTCTTTTTTTGTGCTAAATGTTTTTGACTCTCTCTCTCTCTCTCTCTCTCTCTCTCTCTCTTCCTCTCTCTATCTCTATCTCTCTCTATCTCTCTCGCTGCATCTTCCTCTCTGTATTTCTAGCCAACGTCTCTCCCTTATTATATATATATATATATATATATATATATATATATATATATCAATAATTTTATCAAATTTTTTTCATCCATCCTGCGGGTTGCTAGTATCATTACTAATTTATTCCTCATCTCTCCTCTCTTTCTTTCTCTCTCTCTCTCTCACACACACAGACACACACACACACACACTCACACACACACACACACACACACACACACACTCTCGCTCTCGTCCTATCTCTCTTTCGCCCTATTGCTCTCTCAATCTCTCTCTTGCCCTATTGCTCTCTCAATCTCTCTCTTCTCCCTGTCTCTCCCTCTCCCTATAGCTCTCTCGTCCTCTATCTCTCCATATCGCTCTCTTTCGACCTATCTCTTCTATCTCTCTCTTGCCCTCTCTCTCAATCTTCCTTTTGCCCTATCTCTCTCGCTCTCACTCTTTCTGTCTCTCTCACCCTATCTCTCTTCCTCCCTCTCTCACTCTCTCTATACCTCTCTCGTCTTCTATCTCTTCCTATCGCGCTCTCTCTCTCCTATCACTCTCTCTTTCTCGCCCTATCTCTCTCTACCTTACACAGGTTTTTTCCTTGTTTTTCTTTTCCTCTTTTTTCTTTTTTGAACTAAATTTTTCTGCCTCTCTCTCTCTCTCTCCCTCTTTCTCTCTCTCTATCTATCTATTTATCTCTCATTCGTTCTCTAATTTCTTATTTTTCGAATTTTCTCTCTCTCTTTCTCTCTCTCTCTCTCACAAACACACACACACACACGTTCTCCCTTTGTCCTCCTACATTCTCTCTACTGCTTATTCTTTCTTTATATATTTCTCAATCCCTTTCTTGGTCTTTCCTTTTTCTTCCTTCTATCTCTTCCATGTCACTAGATCTCTTTCTTTTTTCCCTTACATATTTGCATGTGTATGTACCTATGTGTGTTTGTGTGTGTGTGTGTGCATGTGTGTGTGTAAGAGTGTTATAATCCCCATTTTATCATTTACGTCTATTCAAAATGGTGCTTGTCAGGAAATTTGCTATTATTCCTTGACTATCAACAAAACAGACTCCGACAAAGAAACGTGAAACTCCTTTAAAAACATCCGGTGACAGATCAAATGGCTCCGATGCATCAACCACCACATTTACGAACAAAATAGAAAAAATACATATAAACAATACTTTTCATCGTCTTCTGTTTCCTTATTTCTCAACCTCTTTAAACCCTATTTCATTATATATATATATATATATATATATATATATATATATATATATATATATATATATATATATATTAGTTAATTCGAAATAAAACACCAAATATCCTCGTGGGGGCGTTTAAGGTTGGAAAGTGGCAGCTGTCTTTGCCAAACACAATGAAAGCTTCCAAAAGTTATCTCTGATGTCAGTTTCGTTTCTGCTCAATTTACAAAACTATGCATTTTACTTATCTTTTTGGCAGTCGTTAGAATTGTCCTTGAATCTCGCCTGTTATTCTAATAGGCGATAGGATGGGGCACTCAACTTGGCGCGTCTCTTGGAGGAAACTGTTGCCAGACTTGAGAATATTGCACCAATCAGAGTTTACAGTGTAAAAGTCTTAGGTATCTGTGTATGTGTGTGTCTATTGGGTGGTTGTTAAAACAGGATTTTTGTTCATTGCGAAATTCGCTAAGGTTTCAACCAAACGTTATCAAATAATCTCTTTTCATCTCATTTGTGATTCATTCATTTTTTTTCTTCATTCTTAACTTTTCAAATAAATAGATCAATTCAGCTATTCTTTCAAACTGATATTGTTCTTCGCTACTTTTTGCTTTTAGTATTTCTTTCTTTTTTTTATTAAATCATTTTTTTTTTCATTTTTGCAGCAAGGTCCAACCTGTATAATGTCCGGGGGGCTACTCAAGTTAGAGGGTTACTTCAGGGGGTAGTTTATACAGATAGAAGAGGAAAGATAACGTTTTACTCTAGACTTGAACAGGTTAAGATTGTAATGATCGATGAAATATCTTCTTAGGAGTCTGTTTCATAGGGCACTTGTTCGTGGGAAGAAGCTGTTCGAGTGGAACTTACTTCTAACTAATGGAATGCAGGTGGTTTGCTACAATGTAAGTAGCATGGAAGCTCCTAGCCGTAATGGTTAGACTTGGTGGAACCAAGGAATGTAGTTTGTCCGAGCACTTTCCATGAAAGTTGCGATAGAGCAGTGAGAGGCTCACCACATCCAGTCTGTGAGAGATAGGTAGAGGGATGAAAAATAATTCTTCTCCAACAAGGATTCAGAGACGCTTTTGAAGACTGGAAGGTGAGAACTGGGCAGCTTCCGCCCAAATATGGTAACAGTACTCCATTTACGGCCTGATCTGGCTCTAATAAAGATAGAAAATAGCACGAGGAGTAACGTATTTACTGAAACGGTAAAAAAAAGCTGATCATTTTACCTGCATACTATTTATATATTTATCTATACATTATGAAATGAACAAAGTCCGACAATTATTTTAAGACATTTTTTTTATGTTTATACTTTCTTTTTATAGATACAAATATTTAAGTAACTGATCTGCTTATAATAAACAGTATTAACGACATTTACCGGCCTGAATGTCCGAGAAATTTTCATAGAAAATATACGTCCTTCAACAGGATTTGAACCTGTATCCTATACGGAACCGTCATATAGCCCGACGTGGTTTACCGATTTAGCTACAGGGAAGCGTTTCGGTTTGCAAGGACGATTTTACTGTTTTTAAACTACAATTCTCCATGATTTTCTCTCATACATTAATATCGTATCTATAAAAAGAACGTATAAACATAAAAAATGTATTAAAATAATTGTCGGACTTTGTCCATTTCATAATGTGTGACGTCATTTGTTTACATTTGGAAACGCATCGAGCAGATATGAATGTACAAGAGAAAATCATGGAGAATTGGAGTTTAAAAACAGTAAAATCGACCTTGCTAAACGGAAAGCTCCTCTATGGCGAAATCGGTAAAGCATGTCAGGCTATATGACGGTTCCGTATAGGATACAGGTTCAATTCCTGTCGGATGACCCATACTTTCTATGAAAATTTCTCGGACATTCAGGCTGGTAAATGTCATTAATACTGTTTATTATAAGCAGAGCATTTACTTAAATATTTGTATCTATAAAAAGAACGTATAAACATAAAAAATGTCTTAAAATATTTATCTATATATTATAATTTACTTTGTTTAAACATATCTAAGAAGCTTGGTATCTTTGCCCAAAATAAGTGTGAAAAATAATAGGGTAATCCAAAAGTGATAATAATATTTTAAGAGAAATTACATAAAACAAAGGTGTGTTCAATTTATTTAAACTAGAAAGACCCGTGAAAATTTCAAGGTTTTCCTATTTCAATTTTATGATGAATCTTAATTCTTCAGTTAATGATTGAATAAGCTGAAGGCAAGTTCTACAACAATAAAATATCCGTAGAAATTCCCCTATCACATCGTTAAATATTTGAGCTTAAAAAACTTTAACAAAATATTGCAATAACAATCATAAATATGGCGTCTGGTCATTATTTTAAGAAGTGGGAACAAATGAAAAGATTTAAAATTGACAATTTTTTCCATTTCACTGACATAGACGTTAAACCCTTCTAACTTTTTCTTTCTTTCCTTCTTTCTTTCTTTCTTTATTTATTTATTTCTTTGTTTCATTCATTTTCTCACTGAAATCAAGTAGCGTATGTCTTTTCTTTTTCTACACAATCAAAATGTAATAGAGCATTATTTATGAGGTACTGGTAGGAAACATTAAAAACTTCTACCTATCCTTCTTTCTTTCTAGCCAAATCCCCGACTTACGAACGATTTTCTTAATAATAATTTTAAAATAATTCAGCATTCAGCAGATGGCGTTATTTTGTTTATGGTAACTGGATTTTTGGCGATTGCATTACTCGGATTCTGTCGTTTGATACTGTGCATCTGAAAAATAGCGCGTTTATCGCGGTCGTCATGGCTTCTCGACCATATGGTTAAGATCAAAGTCTAGTATCTGCTCTTATTCACCTAATCTGATTCTCTCTCTCTCTCTCTCTCTTTCTCTGTCTCCCCACTATCTTCTCTTCTTTCTTTTTTCTTTCATTTTTCTGACTGAACCAAAGTAGCGTCTTTTCCCCTCTTTCCACGCGATCAAAACGGAATAGTCCATTATTTATGGGGTATAGGTAGGGCGTAACCATCATACGATCTAACGAAAAAGGGACAAGAACAATTATAATAGGATATTATTCATCAAAAATGTTCAAAATCTATTGCCTAAATAGAAGGCAAACTTCAATCCAAAGTTTAAAGAAATCTTATCCCCACCCCGGTAAAAGGTTTGAAAGACTCTATTCACCTTCTCTTTCTTCTGAACGTTCTGCCATTTATGAAATGTTTTAGTGGTCAAAACAAATGAAAATCTGTCGGAGCTAAATCTGGAGAGAGGGAAAGACGTGGAATATCCTCCCGTCCTGACTTTCTTAACTTACGAATGCAACCTTTCAATAGATAGGAGAGAGCACTATTTTGGCAACTGAATTTTTTCACAGAAAATAGCGTAAAGAAATACAACACCTACTTAACATGACTCTGTGCAAATCTTACCATTTCACTCCGACCTTTGAGAAGCCCAAACTATCCCCAACGCTGTACACACACGCACGAACCCATACATACTCAAACATGCACGCGCGCATACGCACACGCATCTCTCTCTCTCTCTCTCTCTCTCTCTCTCTCTCTCTCTCACGCGGACACACATATTTATATATATATATATATATATATATATATATATATATATATATATATATATATATATAAAGTTTTTCCCAATTCAAGGCTTGTGTGCCACTTAAGGTAGAGGGTTAATAAACGAGGTGTGTGGTATGAATGTAAGAGATAGTAGAAAGTGAAAAGTACGAAAACTGATACAGACTGAACATTGATTTGAAAATGCTTAAGATTGCGGTTTTCATGGAAGCATTCCCGCGGGAGTCTGTTCCACAAATAGCTATTCTTGAGAAAAAAAAAGTAAAGTGGACCTACCTTATAATTGGAATACGGAGAAAATGTGGGTGATTCATCTCCATGGATGTAGTAAGGCGAGTCCAAGCTGTAAACGTCTGAACAGGTGAGACTCATGAATTACGTTCATCTAAACATTTGAATAGAGTATAAAGTGAATATATGAAAGCACGGTGAAGTAATGGATAGTGGCTCGGATTAAGGCATCGAAGTGCCGAGTTCGAATTTCAGTTGAGTTTATTGGATTCACTTACGTGCTAATAGCCTTGGGAAAGGTATGAATCCATCTCTTTTCCCTCCAATTATGCGTAAAATAGTAGGACAGATTGAGTTTTATAGCCTTGGTTGGTAGCCAATCTCTGAGAAGGAAAAACTCTAAATTCAAACCAGCCTGGATAGGGTTGGTCTCCGTCAGGCTATCTTGCCGAAGATACGTCACTTCTGCTATGAATGCAGTACGTGTGATGCTCCTACCACTCTAAAAGATAAGGGGACTCGTGATCGATAAGTGTACATACCCAGGTATACTATTATACTTCCAATCACAAAATCTTGAAGGCTTTTATCTTTCCGCCATCTTGGCTGCAATATCTGAGAACATTTTTCCATTAAAGTTTCACTTTCCGAGAAAAGTGCGTCATCTATGCTCCGAAGTAGAATTGACAAGGGAGAAATCAGAAAAGAAATCCTATCCAAGCGCAAGCAATTCAAAGAAAGCATATGCATCATTCCAAAAAGAACCACACCCAGCAAAACAAGGTGGTCTCAGAAAGTTCCCGACCTAGGACGCCATAACTGATACCACTCATGTGAAAGCGAAGACGGGTGAAATGATGATGTGCCTCATTGGCGATTCCATGAATTCTTTCCACATTTTCTGACCTCTTGCTGGCGATTAGTCGCCACAAATGCTCATTATTTTTGGATATTTTTATTCTACTAATTATTTACTCAATATAAGGCCCATGAATCACTCAAGGTAGAGGGTTACTTGTTGAGGTTGTTGCGTGTAAAAGGGGGGGGAGAGAAATGCAGTTTAAGAAAATATGTTATTATGATAACGCTTAACCCTAGACTTAAAGAGGTTAAGATTTTAATGATCAGCGATGCGTCCTCTAAGTAGTCAGTTCCACGATGGAGGGATAATTGGGAAGAAACTGTCTGAATTACTAACGGAATACAATGGGAATGGAGATGATTCGTTCCAGTGTACAATGTCTTAGATGTGAAGGTCCAGGCTGGTGAAAATTGAATGTAATTCGCCAGAACATTTACAGGGGTTCGTTAGCCTCTCTCTACTCTATCACTATTTCCACGAAAAATAATCCGGCGCGCTACATTCATTAGTTTTGACAGTTAAGAGCTTCATGGATAAGACCAAGTTTCATTCTATTCGGACAGCATCTTCCTGTAAACCGCTGCTTCACATAAAAAACTCCCATGAGGATGCTTCCCTAATCATTACAATCTTAACCTCTAAGGTTATCATTCTTAGGTTATCTTTTCTACATATCCTCTTAAACTGTACTTCTCACATCCTCCTCTTACGTGCAACAACATTAATTAGTAACCCTCTACCTTGAGTGGCTTATAGGCCTTGCATTGAGTTAATAATTACTAACACAGTAAACACTAAACTCGACCAGAAACGCGAGTACTACTCAAAACTTCGCCAAAATCCGGATCAAACATTTCGAGGTTCTCGGTAGATGTGCCAACGTTCATCCGAAATTGATACAGTCATGTTGCACTGACTTTTAACAGAGTATTATTATTTGCTGGATTTTCGTCATTAAAGTCATAAATATTTGCCTGTCCGTTTATCCATTTCTCTCTCTACTCTCCTCTCTCTCTCTCTCTCTCTCTCTCTCTACTCTCCGTCTCTCTCTCTCTACTCTCCGTCTCTCTCTCTCTCTCTCTCTACATATATATATATATATATATATATATATATATATATACACCGGATGTAACAGCAGAAGTGTCCAAATCGTGTAACGGCAAAAATGTCCAGTTGTTAGATTAAAATTTGAACCGTTGTATCTTAGAAATGATTAAAGATATCTTACTGGAATTCTCCAAGTTTTTGTATAACACTATTGTGCTCTACCCTGAACAATAAAAATTAATTTAGCTCTAAGCTGAAATGATGATTCTTCTTGCTGTTTCGACTTCTTGAGCCAGTTTTCCTCTCTACTTTTCTCTCTTTATTAAACTTATTCACCGTTCCCTTGATGGCTCTTGAGTGAACTTTGATGATGGAAGCCAGTGTATGAATGTTAGTCCCATTATTGAAGGCCTAAATGATCTTTTTCTTCTCACAATTTCTCAGTTGGGAAGCGATAGTGTGGCTGACACAAAATGATTTTAACCCGTTCTCTCTTTCTAGCTGAATAGCACAAAAGGTTGTTTCAGTCATTCTTACGACAAATGGTGTCAAGATGGCTAAATGTCTTATCTGATAATCTGAAAAAAAAAGAAACTCAATTAGTTTGGTGGCTTTTAGATATTAAACATTTTGTGGGATGGACAATTATCCCATGCTGTTACACGATTTGGACAATTTTGCTGTTACATCCGGGATATATATATATATATTGAGATTGATTTGATTAGCAAATCAAAAATTCGAGGGTTTTTCGAAACGAGTCTAGTTATCTATATATATATATATATATATATATATATATATATATATATATATATATATATATAAAAGAGAGAGAGACGAATTCCTTTAGAGGCTTTTTCTTTTCTTTCCATCACTTTTGTTAGTAGTAATCCCACACTGTGATATTAAAAGACTTGCCAGGAATGGTGAAATGTTCTAAAGGTCAGGGCGCAAATTTACTGTGGATGACCTTACGATCATTGACGGTCTAAAATTCCATGAAGTCTTGAAGGACGAAACGCGTCATGAATAAATGTTTTCCACTTTGTGATACAATTTCTTCAATACACACACACACACACACAAACACACACACATATATATATATATTAATGTGTATTTGGGAAGCAACCTTTCTTTCAAGCATGTTTCATTGAAAACGCTCGACGAGGAAGATTTAATTAATCTTTTATTGAGTTTTTCCAGCATTCTAACATTTTTTTCGTTTTTCAGGGATGAAAAAAAAAGCCTTGTCTTAGCCGAAGCGTTTCGTCCTCTTATGTAGTTCCGCATTTTGTATGTCTTTCTTTTAGCGTTTTGGATGAAATAGCGTTTTCTATGTATATTTCTTCTTCGGGTAAATAGTACTGCAAAAACGACAATGGCTTTAATAACAACAACAACAACAATAACAACGATAATAAACTAGACAAATACATAATACTACCTACTAACTCCTTAACATCTACTATCAAAAAAAAATATCGAACTAATTACAACCACATCGCCAAACTATTGTGGACATGATCAGAACCCAAATTACCCATAACAATAATAACTCTGGATTAAGGATATATAAAATAAACTGTCACAACTGTTCTTCATAATATGTCGAGGAAACTTGAAGAAAATTAAAAAAAAAACGTATCTATGAAAAACAAAACGGATCTTATACATAAAATTTATCCAAAACATAAATCATACATAGAAATATATTCAACCTAGACTTTTATCTAAAGAATGCCAACATTTATTAAAAGAGAAAGTAACTTACTTAAACGGAAAATTCTTGAGAGTGCTGCTATCGAATCTTATCAAAATATAATTCTGTGCACCGAATTTTTTCAAATATCTCCTTCCTCAAGTTAACATACATGGCTACAGTTTTTTTTTTAAATTTAAAAGAAAACAGTTAAATTAAAACCTTCTATTATTCAAAATATATAATACGTAAATTAATTTCTCAGACTAAAATAATATAAATAATAATTAAATTATATAAAAAAAACTTCAACAATGACGACACTTACTCACTTTCGTTTATTAGGCATTAAATTACATCATTTAGCATCAGCCATAAATTTACCCTGACTTTATATTTATGAGCGTTCATAAATTTAAAAATTCTGAAAAAATAACGATATTTTACTTCGGTGTATAATTGCATATAAAATGCTTACATTTGCCTTGATGAAGTTCATCAGAGGACAAAACGCATTGGTAACATAAGTTTTCCTTTTTTTCTTTATTCATATTATATCTGATTTTACACGCACACATACACACACACACACACGCGCGCGCGCACATATATATAATATAAATATAAGTAAGTATACTCGTCTGGAAAAACCTTAGGTGTTTTGGCTTGTAAATGAACAAACCAATGCCCAAGGAAAAATAAGGGACAAAAAAAGAAAGAACATGTAATTGAGGCGAAAACAATCGTTCAGAATCCAAGCTCAGAGCCCAAAGAAAAAAAAAACTCCAAAACGAGTAAAGCAAAATTAACTAAGTAAAGTGCTCAATACACTAAGTAGAGCAAATCTAACTATGAACCTATAGAACCTTTAGCTCTTTAGGTTTTATATATATATATATATATATATATATATATATATATATATATATATGAGAACGAATCGAATATAAATTCCAACGTTCATAAAATTAATTTAAAAAAAGGGCTCAATACAAAAAGTAGAGCAAAAATCTTTATTTTGGGATATTACATCAACATGCGATTAACCACTACATAAATTCAATCAGGTTTCAATGTGTACTAACACCTCTCATCGGGCGTTAGTAAATCACTGGTTAGTAGAACAATGTATCGATTTTTTTCCCTTTTTTGTATGAAAACAGATTGTATGTAGTTTTAAGTTTCGATAAATTGTTCTACTATCCAGTAATTTACACCTGATGTTAGTGCACATTGAAACATGATTGAATTTATGTAGCGGTTATTCGCATGTTGATATAATATCCCATAATACACACACACACACACACACACACACACACACACATATATATATATATATATATATATATATATATATATATATTTTGAACAATAAAAAAATATTAAAAAATTAAAATCTTCAGACACACTGGGTTGTAGATTAATATTCTTTCGTTTTTTTTTGTTTTTGTTTTTTTTTATTATTTCATTTAGATTCCTCGACTAGTTTCGGCCAAAATGGCCATCATCGGGGAGAAGAAATATTTCTGCTTGCTGGTAGCAGTAAACTACAGAAAAAAAATCTCTCTCTCTCTCTCTCTCTCTATATATATATATATATATATATATATATATATATATATATATATATATTAAAGGATTTGTTTTAATCCAGCATAATTTCTTATTACAATAAACATTATTCTCGTTAGGTACACGTGTTTGATTTGCTATGTGTGAACTTATTTATTTTATTAAACAATGAAATTAATAACAACTGGCCTAGATCGAGAAGTCCCACTAAAGAAAAATATGCCTCCGGGCAAGAATCCCCTTTCCCATGAGTAAAACCACTCCTGTAGCCGAAGAAGGAGACGGAACCTCTGATATAAAACACTCCCACAGTGAAAAAAAACAGACTAAGATTGGTAAACTCTGAAACAAAACATGTGTCTGAAGCTGAAACCAGACACTGGATTATGGTAGTTGGGATTGATAGAATGGTATTCATGTTGCACAAGTTTCTATAATCTCAATAAGTTGCAGGTACTTTTTTACAACTTATATAATGGTTAATTTAATAAAGTGTTCCAGCTCGAAATCGAGTAAATAGCCATCATATATTTATATATATTTATTTATATATATATATATATATATATATATATATATATATATATATATATAGTAAAATTGTAAGAAAATTATGTACAAAATCTTGACGTATAAAGGAAATAATAAAATTTGGAAAACACCTGTTTTTATATATCCATATGTAATATTTATAATACATGTATCTTTAGAGAGAATTATTAAAATTAAAATTGTTTTACTTACATATCGGGGTTTCAGAAAAATATTTTAGTTTAACCGGTTTCGCTTTTAACTTTTGGAAAAGTTTGTAAATGTTTATTAGATTCCCACATGCTGATGCATATGCCTCTAATAAGAAAAATGTCAAGGGGCGTAACTGGTTTTATTTTCTTTCTCTCTCTCTCTCTCTCTCTATATATATATATATATATATATATATATATATATATAATGAGTTACTAATACGCCCTACTATTTAATCCATAGCTGGGGGGTGTAGAAAAGGTGGATTCATATCTTTCACAAATGTATTTGCGCCTGAGTGCCCCTGCTATTTACTTTTAGCTCCTTGATCAGATCCAAAGAAGAATCAGCAATATTATTGGTCCAATCACTTTCCCTTCTCTGTAAGGTTCCGTCTCTAAGTCGTTTCCCTCCCCCGTAAGGTTGCCTCTCTGTGTCTTTTCTATAAATACTTTCAATTGGTAATTGTTCTAATGAGCTCTTCGCTATGGTACCTGGAGTTTTTGAAGCCCAACACTAGACTGACGTCAAGATCTCATCACTTTACTGTATAAAACTTTCACTTGTTTAAATTTTATTAGTATTACGACTACTACCTGTTAACTTTAACAATGGATGTAGCCATCACTTACACTTACTCCTAACTGGGTGGTAAAGTTAATGGACAGTTACCGTCCAAATTCATTTTGTATTTACATCGTTTCAACATCAGGTCATGTACTTTAATCTGAATTCAAATATACATGAAATCTCTCTCTCTCTCTCTCTCTCCATCTCCCTCTCCCTCTCCCTCTGTTTTTCTCGGCGCGTATGTGCATGTGTGTGCGCGTCTGTGTGTTCATGTGCGCACGTGTGAGTTTGGCAGGCGTTTACGTTGCCTATATGTTTACATATGAGTACCAAATCGTTTAATTGATTTCTTTGATTCTCCGCCGCTTGAATGAAGCCTGGCATCCGGAGAAAATCACATGGGAAGTTCAGCTAATTACTGAATCGTCTGAATCTTTCTTTGATATCATACTTTGCAAATGCAACCTGTAATTTACATTCAATGAATAACGCAGCCTCCCAGTTTGTTTGGTTTGGTTTACACCCAATGTGAAAATATTCAAATGGATGACAAGAACGCACTAAAACAACACGTTCACATACCAAAGCATAAACTTATATATATATATATATATATATATATATATATATATATATATATATATTATATAAAATGTAAAAGGCTCAAGCACTAATATTCCATGGTTATAATTTATTACATTGGAATCGTAATTGCGATCCAATTCATAAGACCTACAAATTCAAAAAGAAATTGGAAAATATAACTCCAGGTATAAAAAACAAAATTTTAGTGAGAGTGTATGTGTGGGAGTGGGAAACAAATGTGAGAGGGAAATATATGAAAGCTCTAGAGAGAGGGTGTAATAGAAGAAAGAAGAACAGGAAGGCCTAAAGGTGAGAGAAGTTTTAAAGAGAGGAGTTAAATAACGGTTTAAATGAGTGAGATACAGATAAATATGAATTATTTTCAAATGCATAATTCGCTACCGAATATATATATATATATAAAGTTTATGTATATATGTATGTATTGCTGCTCGCAATAAATGTAAGCCAGTCCTCGTTTGTCATGAGAATGAGGCCCGCATAACCTCTAACAATTTTGGCTCTCGCGATTACTGGCGGCTCTGTAATAAGACGTTAAATATTCCTCCCCTCTTCAATCAATATGTTATCATCCTCTGCTGATAAAGCGGAATACTTTGCCCATAAAACCCTACTCTTCACTCATCCGGAATATACATGCCTAACTTCCCTCCTAGAACTCAGTTTCTATTGAGTGATACTCATATACCCCACTTCATGGTTTTTGTTATCATCTCTGATCTAGATCCCCCACAAAGCATGTGGACCCGTAGGTATCTTTGTAATAGTCCTTAAGATGTGTGCTCCCGAAATGGCTCCTGTTCTCTTTAAATTGTATAATAAATACATCGCTTCCTTCTGTTTTCCTGCCTGCTGGAAGTCATCTTCTGTTGTTCCAGTTTTTAAGAACTTTGGTGAACCGTCCGACCCTACAAACTATTGGGCTGTTAGCCTTCTACCTCTTTTTGGGAAATTCCTGGAAGCCAATGCTGAATTGGTTCATCATCTCTCATCGCTGGGCCTTTTCTCAGACAAGGAATATGGATTAATGACGATATTTGGAAAAAGTTTATCATGCTCTAAATAAAAACGGTGAATCTCGAACTGTTGCTTTGAACATCTTGAAAGCCTTTGGCATGATCTGGCATTCAGGTCTTTTCCACAAGCTGAAAAGTTATGGTGTCTCCGG